AGAGAAATGAACCCCTATCAAAGCTGCTCTTTAGGGATCAGTCTTTTTGTGACATTGGCTTCTCCACAGCTTGGCCTCTCCTCTATTACTCCAATCTTCCTTTCAATCCTACATTGCCTCCCTCTAGCACCACCAATGGATACTTCTTTTCTAAAAATGTTTTTGTGTAGGTTGCTGCCGTGTCTATGAGAAGGTGGGAAGAGGGTTTGGGGAAGGAAGGATTGAAGACCACAGTCCAAGGTTAGGGAGGCTGGGCAAGAATATAGTGTTTTCTGAATGTTCTACTGCCCCTTGGTAAAGTAGGACAGGGTGAAAGGAATCGTATTACTTTCACAGAAAACAGAAAAAGGGAAAGAATTCAGAGTGAAGATAAAATCTAGAAGTTACTCAAGAAGACCATCTCAGATGTCAGCGAAAATGGCTTCTAGACTGAGAGGCTGTAGGTTCAGTGGCAAGTGTCCAGTCTTTGGAATGGGAAAGAAACATAGCTGTGAAGCTCTGGAGAACTTGCTTAGCCTTATTAAGTCTTAGTTTCTTCACCTGTAAACAAGAAGATAATAGTTCCTACCTTACAGTGTTGTTGTGAGGACTGAGATGATGTATATAAAGCACTTGGCACATAGTTGGCATCTAAGAAATAGCTAGTAAAAATGGGTAGCTTCCCTGCAAATATTCTCTCTCCTCCTTCCCTGGGAACACTATTTTTAGTATCTGTGTCTGGGGGCCTCTAGCCTCCGAATTATATTAGGATCCTAGGTGAGCTTTCTAAGTCCTTAGGATTTTTTCTCATCTCCCACTTCCCTTGGTGCCTTCCAGCTGGACACAAACTCATTCCTAAAATATGTAGATGGAAGCTGTGGTAACCATGGAGACAAGGCGGGTGGCAGGGAGAGGCAGAGACAGTGTGAGAGACCAACAGCAACAAATAGGAAGAGAGAAGACATAAGGAGCGATTCAGACAGAGACCTTCAAGAAAGATGGAAAAATAATGAGTCTAAGCAAGACAGAGAGCAAAGAGAGGCAATGAGAGAGCATGTGTTACAAGGTCTGCTCTTCTTCTTGCCCCTTTCCTCTCTCCTGCCAAGAATATGGGATAGAGGCATCTGAAAATGTCCCTTACCCTATCTAAAAATTCCTCCGGATATCCACCTTCCTCATACTTATCTAAGAGGTCTACATAAGGGAGGTGAGGTCCAGGTTTCTCTGTGATGCGTGCTCCATTTTGGCAGAGGTAGGGTGGGGATGTACCTGTGTCTGACTCCAGGCTGGATCACGCTCTCCCTGACAAACTACAAGAAGGCAGCCAGATCTCCTGTCTCTGCACAGTATGGACGGCGGCTGTGGATCCAAATCGCCTCTCTACACCCCTCTGCACAGTGTGCCATGTGCCGTGTGTGGCAGGTCAGGTCTGACGCACAGCAGCGCATAAGAAACACACCAAGTGCAGAGAATGGGGATCTGCTGAAGCTCCAGCGAAGAATCCGGATGGTCCTTGTCTGAGTGGTGGAGGAGTCCCCTAAGGAACACTTAGGTTTGTTGGGGCTGAGGGGAGGTCTGCTAAGAAAGGGAAGTCAGGATTGGAGCCTCTAGATTTTGGAAGGTTTATGTGTGCATGGGTGGGGGAGCAGTTTGGTACCCGACGCCCCCACCCGCAGAGACTGAGCTATAAATAGCACAGCAGAGCTCCGCCCCCCCCCCAGCTTCTCTCCTCCGGAGCCGGCGCTGTGCCCGGGGCGCTCCGGGAGGAGGGACCAGGATCCGGCGCGGGGCGCAGATACAGACACCAAGGGAATCCGGGTGCCCCCCCAAGCCATGTGGGCCCCCGGGAACCCAGCTCCGCCACCCAGGCTGCCCCGTGGCCACGGCCTCAATCCTGGCCGGGCGGAGATTCTGCGGATATTCAGGTATCTATTTGGGCGCAGAGCCTGGGAGGGGAAAAAGCAAGGAGTGATGGGGAACATAGCAGGGGCAAAAGAAACCCCCAATTCTCCCTCCGCCCGTTTTAGGTCCCAAACGCAAGCTGCTTCCCTCCCCCCACTCAATTTTTGGGGCTGTGGCAACCTAAAAGAGGTTAGGAATGGGAATATGTGTGTGACTGTATGGGTGCATGTGTGTGGGTGGGTGGTGTTCAGCATCCTAGAAAGGGGGATTCCAAATGTGGATACGAAAAGGGGGATGCTGGAAAGGTCTGATAAGCCGTGGGGTGAGGGTGGGGGTGCGGATATCCCTGCGCGTGCACGAACGCATTTGCACGCGCTCGTCCTTTAGTGCGGGTGCACCCTTCCCACCTCCTCAGGCATGCGCTGGGGGGGAAGGGGCGGCTCAAAGGCATGAGTTAGAGGAAGGACTGCGTGCAGTGGAGATCTTCCCCACCCCATGCCGGGTCCCTCCATCAGTGCCTCAGTTTCCCTGCTGAATTCATCAATAAGATCTTTCTCTTTCTTGCAGGGATCTGCTTTGCCACTGAGACCTCAGGCCTCTGCCAACCACCACCCCCACACCCCTAGCCATCCTCGGCAGGTCCCAGTCCCGGCTCCGTCGGTTCCCTCGCCCCAGCCGCAGCTATGCTGCACACCGAGGGCCACGCTCTTCTTCGGGCCGTGGGTCAGGGTAAGCTACGCTTGGCCCGTTTGCTACTGGAGGGAGGCGCCTACGTGAATGAGGGTGATGCCCAGGGGGAGACTGCGCTAATGGCGGCCTGTCGGGCCCGTTATGATGACCCTCAGAACAAGGCGCGCATGGTACGCTACCTCCTGGAGCAAGGCGCTGACCCGAACATCGCAGACCGCCTAGGGCGCACTGCGCTCATGCACGCTTGTGCCGGGGGTGGGGGCGCCGCGGTGGCCTCGCTGCTCCTTGCCCACGGCGCAGACCCCTCCGTCCGAGATCACGCGGGCGCCTCAGCGCTTGTCCACGCCCTGGACCGCGGGGACCGCGAGACCCTTGCCACGCTGCTAGACGCCTGCAAGGCCAAGGGCACGGAGGTCATCATCATTACCACTGATACCTCTCCCTCGGGCACCAAGAAGACCCGGCAGTATCTCAATTCCCCACCATCCCCAGGGGTAGAGGACCCTGCTCCAGCTCCTCCTAGCCCGGGGGTCTGCACGTCGCCTTCGGAAATCCAGCTGCAGACTGCTGGAGGAGGAGGGCGGGGATTGTTATCCCCTCGCACCCAGGAAGAAGAGGAGAAGCGGGACGTATTTGAATTCCCTCTTCCTAAGCCCCCTGATGACTCCTCCCCTTCTGAGCCGCTCCCCAAACCACCACGTCACCCCCCTAAACCCCTCAAAAGGCTCAACTCCGAGCCCTGGGGCCTAGTAGCCCCTCCTCAACCGGTCCCGCCCGCGGAAGGGAGGCCTGGGATGGAGCGCTTGACCACCGAATTCAACGGCCTGACCCTAACGGGTCGACCCCGTCTTTCCCGACGTCACAGCACTGAAGGCCCGGAGGACCCGCCCCCATGGGCGGAGAAAGTGACGGGTGGGGGTCCTCTCTCTCGCCGAAATACAGCTCCAGAGGCTCAAGAGTCTGGTCCGCCTTCAGGGCTGAGGCAGAAACTGAGCCGCATGGAGCCGGTGGAGCTCGACATCCCCGGACATCTTTGCCCTGATTCGCCAGAGTCCAGTCGCCTGTCCTTGGAGCGCCGCCGTTACAGCGCCTCCCCATTGACCCTCCCTCCTGCCGGCTCGGCTCCCTCCCCGCGCCAGTCCCAGGAGAGTCTGCCTGGGGCTGTATCTCCGCTGAGCGGAAGGAGGCGAAGTCCCGGGCTGCTGGAGCGCAGGGGCTCCGGGACCTTGCTCCTGGACCACATATCGCAAACGCGGCCAGGTTTCCTGCCCCCGCTCAACGTCAGCCCCCACCCCCCTATCCCCGACATTCGCCCCCAACCTGGAGGTCGGGCGCCTTCGTTGCCTGCCCCTCCCTATGCCGGGGCACCGGGCTCTCCCAGGACCAAGCGCAAATTGGTGAGACGACACTCCATGCAAACTGAGCAGATTCGCCTGCTAGGAGGCTTTCAGAGTCTAGGCGGGCCAGGGGAGCCAGGGCGCTGAGCGAAGTGAGAGGAGCCAAGGAGGGTGGGGATCAGGACCTTGATGGGACAGGTGGGAGAACCAGCTCACACACATACCATGGACAGAGGGGTCTCTTGCATGTGCTCATGGGAACGGTGCACACACACATGGTTAAACATGTGTCCACAAGCACAGCACTCTTACTAGCAAGAAAGGATAAGCACTCCATTTACTGGGCATATAGACATATGCATTCATGCCCTGGTCATTTCACATGCATGTGGGATTACTTGTATACCCACAGGCACAGCACACTAATAAACACACATGGCCACTTGTGCTAGGGTTCCAAACTCACTTGCATTTGTTCAGAAGCAGTAGGGAACCCCCTACTATGGGTAGTCTCCAATATCTTTGCCCTCCTGCCAAACCAATCCCTTGCTTTCCATGTATACCCTGCAACACAGCCTATCATGATTTTGCATACTCCACCCTCTTCATGAATATCCCACCCCATTCTGCAGGTCTTGCTTCTCTCTCCAGGCCTGGCTCCTTGTTCATACCCTACTTCCAGCCCTAAACACTTTTCAGGATATCTTCTTCACTCTTCTTGGGGTTCCTGCAGCAACTCCCAGCCTCAGTTCTGCTGCTGCCCTTCCTGCCTCAACTTCACTTCTCAATTAACTTCCTGCTTTTTATTCCCAGCCTGTTCCCACAACCACTACAATAGGTTGTCTCATTTTCTATGGGGTGGGTCATGGGCTCTAAGCTGCTCTTCTGTCTGTCTGAGCTTATGAACACCCCCACAAGGTAGAAGTGGGGAGTAACCCTAAATCACTCTTCTCTCCACTTGACATATCAAATAAATGTGTTCAGAAGTCTCTGTTTTGTCACTTCTGCCTGGAAGTGTGGGTGTGGGAATGAGGAATGGGGAGGGAGGGCGATCCTAACTTATAGCTATAATGATCCAGGGGATGCTTAGAAGTTCCAGCCACCTTCTTTTCAGGAGACCAAGTGACCAACTGTGGTTGTAGAAGAAAAGGCAAGTGTCCTGTGTCCTGAAGGTTTTAAGGCATTTGGCAGGCTTTCATTTCCTCCAATTTCCCCTATGTCCATCCTTGAATTCTTTAAGACTCCTACAAAGAGTCCCTTCCTCCACCAGCAGATATATCCAGTATATTAACTGCCCTTTTTCTAGCTTCCTATTTCTTGGCCACTCACAGTTTTTACTCAGGGTCTAATTTTCATATCACCAGCTGAGTTTCATCTATTTTCTTCTACTTCTGGCCTCTATTTCCTCATCTTTGATTTCTTTGATTTCTGATCACTGCAGGAGAGGTTGGGGTGGCAGTTAATATAACCTCACCTAAGTAAAAATTGCAAAATGGTCAATTGACAGAGTGTGTAGTGTGTGTGTGCATGTGTGCAAAGAAATTAGAAGAAACTAGCCTGACAGTTTCTATGAACAAGGTACCTTTCTTAATCTGTCCCCCACTATGACTTCTCAGCTGGTTTTCTGCATACACTCTCTTTCTCACTCTAAAGGGAGGTAAAGGGAGCCTTTCATTCTATTTGCTTACTTTCCCCCTTGCTTATAATAGATGAAATCATAACTTTACCCAACAATGTGTCATAATGAAAAAATAAAAATATTGGGAATCAGAACACCTATGTCTGAGCGCCCCTTAGCCATGTCCTCGCTATTTAATTTTGGTCAATTTATATAGCCTCCCTGAGCATCTGTTTCCTTATCCATAAAATAATAAAATCTAGTTAGTGATTGTGATCATTAAATAAAACAATGCACTAAAGTACATTGTATAGTATATGCTCATGAAATTCCAGTATCTTTCTTGCTTTCACTCCACCACCAATTGCATGTGATACTGGACAAGTCGCATCACTTCTCTGAGCCACACTTTCCTCATCTACATCTATAAAATGAAATGGTCAGACAAATGATCTCTAAGAATCCTCTGTGTCTACAATTCTCTGCAGCCTTGCATGCAGGCCCATTTTTTTCTTCAAGCCCCGCCCCTGGGTTCTAGCTAGCTTTCTAGTGCTAGCTACAGGACTCCCAAAGACGCGCCCAAGCTAAGCGTCAGCCTTACAGAAGACATCCCTTTTTCTTTTTGCAATTGGTCCTCAGAACCTCCGCCCTCCTCAATAACTTGCCTATGGCGGAGCGGGAACCCTCTAGCTCCCGCCCCCTCACTGGTGATTGGCATGGGATCTGGCTCGTCCCCGCCCTCAATTGACTGACATCTCGGCCTCGGCACCGCCCTCAGTCCCCAGGCGCTCCCTGACTGGGGTGGCGGGGACCGTTAGCTGGCCAGGCTGGCAGGCTGCAGGCCGCTACTCCACTGGCAGCCGGGATGGAGACGATGCGAGCACAGCGGCTGCAGCCTGGAGTGGGCACTAGCGGGAGGGGCACTCTTCGAGCGCTGCGGCCCGGAGTGACTGGGGCCGCGGCTGCTGCCGCCACACCCCCAGCGGGCCCCCCGCCGGCCCCACCGCCACCCGCACCGCCCCCGCCGCCGCTGCTCGCGTCAGGGGCCCCGGGGCTGCCCCTGCCCCCCGGCGCCGCCGGCAGCCCGGCTGTGCTGCGGGAGGCTGTGGAGGCCGTGGTAAGGAGCTTCGCCAAGCACACGCAGGGCTATGGCCGAGGTGAGTCTGCGGGTCTGGCCTCCTGCGGGACACTCTCTGTAAGGGAGCCTTGCTCCCACAGTCCTCCGGATCGCTTTTCCTGGCGTGGAGCCCTAACATGCATTTCCTTTTGGGGAGTTTACTTCTGGGCTACACACACGCTCACGCACAGACGCACACACTCATACATACGTTTAAGGCTCCCACCTCCTCCCCTTTACTGAGTTATTAATATATTCTCCAGAGACCCCCTTTTTCAGATACAATCCTCTTTTCTTCCTAACCTTTTCTCCTACGGAAATAGAATTCCTCCCCTAGCTTAAGGCGTTAACATCTTTCTACCTTTGAGAACCAGTCCCCATTGTGTGGGATCTTGTCCTTCATCACAGATCCCATTTCTCGTCCACACCCTCTCAATCTTTCTTCTGTGGTCTCATCAATCCCCCGGGCTCCTTAATGTTGACTTTTTAATTCTTTACTTAACTCTGAAATTTCAATGCAACTTAAGATTTGCTGGATAGTTAGGTAGTGCCTTCACAAGTCACTCACAATAATTGTGCCTTTCTTTAAATCTGGTCCCATACCATTGAGCCCACACCAGCTTCCTGTGGCTTAGGACCTCACTTTGGTTGTCTTTTTTAGTATGGAGACTCAGAACTCCTGCCTCTCTGTCTGGCTTTGTTTTCCTGGCCCTTGTCCAGGAACTGAGGATAAATCCCAGGCCTTGGCTCTGTCAATGTTAAATTCTGTGGAAATGAGCCAGGTAGAAACCCTATTTTGCTTAGAAATCTTCATCTAAAGATGCCTAATTTCTGAGAAGGGGGATGTAAGGATTTTCTTCGTTGTTTTAATTTAGCCAGTGTAGAATTTCCTGTCTGAGTTCAAGTTCCATATTTATAGTGTAAGTAACAAGGAATATATAGTGAGGGGTGTGAGATACAGAATTTAAGTCTGGAATTTCCGACATCACTTCTGTCTGCTTGGCCACATCCTACTTGACCCAAAAATGACTATATCTTTAACTTTCTAATTTAACAGTAATACAGACAAAAGTTGCAGGGCTTTCTCTACAGACTTTTTGTTGTTGTTTTTCAGAGAAAGTGTAGTGAAAAGACCACACACAGGCTTTGGAGATTTCTGTCTTTACCAGCTATGTGTTTGGGGAAGGACCTCAACCTCACTGAGCTTCAGTTTCTTCAGGGATCATGTGTATTAACTGAGATATTGCAACTGATATATAATGGGTACCTAAAAATTATCATCATCTCAGATTTGTTGGTTCATACTTCCTTAAGAGTAACATGTCTCATTTTCTCCGACTCTTAAATCCTGATTGTGTAAACCAAAAAATTCTGATGAAAACAGATTTTCAGATCCATTTTGCTATGTATACCTAATGATTCATTTACCATCAGTTTCCCTTTGTTCTTCATACAATTTGAACTCCTACCATAGGGCAGGTACTCTTCTAGGTACTGGAGATACAAATGAAAATGATTCTGAAATTCATTATGAGGAAGTTATTTTTCTAGTTTAATTCCTAGATTTAACAAGGCTATATGATGGAACCGCCATCAGCTACTATCCTGCTGCTTCAGGTCTCTTTAAGTTGAGATCAAGGGAAAGTCTTTGTCTCTGGGCATAGAAATAGCCAGGAATGGTCACCCTAAATATGAAGTCTTCCTCTAGGAAACTTATAGGCATTTATTAAAATTATAGAGGACCCTTTTTCTTGTCTGTGTTGTTATCTGGAGAGCCTCTGGTTTGGTTTCTAAACTGGACATCCTGTAAAAAGTTTCATTTCCTTACCAAGGATGAGGGAAAAAGAGGACTGTGTTGACAAAGAACAGTCAGGCTTCAGACTCTGTGGTGGATTCTCTCTCCCACCTCCCCACCTCCCATCATAGTTTCTCTCATTATTCTTAAGTTTCTCATTTCCAGTCTGGGTGTCCAGCCAGTACTTTAGGAGAGTTTGGCAGATAGTTCAGCAAGCAGAATCTCTGCCGATTTGGCTCAGAAGTCCTTCACCACATGGAATCACTTATTCTGTTTCAATTCCTAGGCAAAGCTGCCATTGGCATGCACCCACATACCCTTGTGACTGATGGCATGGTATTTGGGGGATGGCTCTATTCCTCTGAATACAATTTAGTTTGGTTTCTGCCCAGACCATTCCCTCATCTAGCAGTGCTTTACCACATCTTCTTCCTGACTGCTTCAAATTTCCCTTTTCCAGTCATGGTGGGGTTTTTTCAATTTATTTATTTTTTCTTTATTTAAGCTGGGGTCTTGCTCTGTCTCCCAATCTGGAGTGCAGTAGTGTGATGATAGCTCACTGTAACCCCAAACTCCCAGGCTCAAGCAATCCTCTCACCTCAACCTCCCAAGTAACCAGGACTACAGGTGTGTGCCACCATGCCTGGCAAATTAAAGTTTTTGGATTTTTTGTGTGTGTGTGTTTAATTTTTTTTAAATTTACTTTTTAAATATATTTTTAATTATTTTATTTTCTCTTTTTTAGGCCCATTTGTGTACTTGTACCAGCAAATTAAAGTTTTTGTAGAGACAGGGTCTTGCTATGCTGCCCTGGCTGGTCTCAAATTCCTGGCTTCAAGTGATTCTCCTTCTTTGGATTCCCAAAGTGTTGGAAATACAGGCATGAGCCAGGCCTTGGAACCCAGCCAAGTCACAGTCTTTAGATTTACCTTCACTCATATAGGATCTTAGCATTCATACAAAAAAATTGTTATTTCACCTGTTTGTCCTTTATCTCCCCATTCTCACCCACCCACCCAGCATACATACATAGCTTAATATGCTTCAGGATTTTAATTAGTTTATAGTGCATAGGATTTGGAATCAGAGGAACTGGCCCTGTCAAATAGTGTCTCTGTGATCTTAAAGAAATTGCTTAATCTCTCTAAGTCTCATCTGTCCCATTCATTCATTCAATAAATATTTATTAATCACCAGATGCAGTGGTGAACAAGGCAGATATTTAGTCCCTATCTTGATGGAGCTCACAGTTCACTTTACAGAGCATATGAGGATTAATGGTACAAGAAGGCAGGATTGTACAATAGAAAAGAGGGTGGACTTTGGAGCCCAACAATCATTGTTTCTAAATCCTGGTTCTGCCACTTCTGGCCTATTCCTTAATTTGTTTACATTTTGTAGAATGCATATTATAATACCTATCCTGATAGTTTTAGATAGATTAAATGAGATAATCAATGTAAAGCATACAGAATATAATAGTACTCAGATTGGTTGTTATTATTATGCATTTGGAAATACTTTGAAAACTGTGCAAATTATAGTTATTATTAGCATTACCATTTCTTTTGCCTGTTTTTTCTATATAGCATATAGTCCCCTTCTCATGTTTGATATCTGGCAATCCCTAAACTGGCATGATTGAGCAAATTACTTTCCTTGCTCTGTAACTGCCACATTTCTCTCTTCAAGTGTTTTTTTGTTTTTTTTTTTTGAGACAGAGTCTCACTTTGTTGCCCAGGCTAGAGTGAGTGCCGTGGTGACAGCCTAGCTTACAGCAACCTCAAACTTCTGGGCTCAAGCAATCCTTCTGCCTCAGCCTCTGGAGTAGCTGGGACTACAGGCATGCACCACCATGCCCAGCTAATTTTTTCCTATATATATTATTTGGCCAATTAATTTCTTTCTATTTATAGTAGAGACTGGGTCTCGCTCTTTATTAGGCTGGTTTCGAACTCCTAACCTTGAGTGATCGCCCGCCTCTGCCTCCCAGAGTGCTTGGATTATACAGGCATGAGCCACCATGCCTGGCCCAAGTGTGTTGTTTTGGAATTATTGCTATCCCTTTATGTTATAATATGACTACCTGATTGGAAATTTTGCCCAGCTACTCCACTAAGTTGAACAAATGAATCTTGTGTATTATTTTCTGTTTAGTTGCTCCTTTTCCTCAGAATCACAGATAGTTTCTTTTCCTGTAAGTGACTGGAGTTAAATTGATTGGTCTGAATATTTCTAATTTTTAGAAATGTTGGATTAGTCCCTGTACTAGTTTCCTGTGACTGCTGTAACAAATTATCACAGACTTGGTAGCTTAAAACAACAGAAATTTATTCTCTCACATTTCTGGAGGCCATAAGTCCAAAATCAGTATTACTGGGTGTTGGCAGGATTGTGCTCCCTCCAGAAGCTCTAGTGGAGAATCTACTCCTTGCTTCTTCCAGCTTCTGGGGGCTGCCGACATTCCTTGACTTGTGACTGTATCATTCCAGTCTCTGCCTCTATGCCTTCTCCTCTTCTGTGTTTTGTCAAATCTGCCTCCTTCTTCTAAGGACACTTCTGATTGCCTTTAGGGCCCACCCAGATAGGGATAATCTTCCTATCTCAAATTCTTTAAACACATTTGCAAAGTCTTTGCCACATAAGGTAACATTCACAGGTTCTAAAGATTAAGACATGGACATCTTAGCAGGGGCCATTATTCAGTCTACCAGAGTCCCTTCTCAAAGTCACTATTATTAATACTTCCCAGTCCCTCCCTTCCACAGGGACTGTGTACTGTGGACTATTCAGGGGTACCTTCTAAAAACTGAAATAGTAAATACTGCATGAAATATTGTTAACCAACTTCCCTATCTTCCTTAATAATGTGAATTAAGCTGGGCCAACTATTCTCACTATCCTGTATGATCAGGGAGAGCCTTTTTACTCATCTCTCAATTTCATTATCTATTTATTATCTCTTTAACCCTGTTCCCCTACCACATATTGTATTTATTCTTTTTTTTTTTTTTTTTTTAGAGACAGAAACTCACTTTGTTGCCCAGGCTAGAGTGAGTGCCGTGGCATCAGCCTCGCTCACAGCAACCTCAATCTCCTGGGCTCAAGTGATCCTACTGCCTCAGGCTCTGGAGTAGCTGAGACTACAGGCACGTGCCACCATGCAAGCATAGTGGTTTTTGCTAATTTCTTCTATATATATAGTTTTAGTTGGTCAATTAATTTCTTTCTATTTTTAGTAGAGACGGGGTCTCACTTAGGCTGGTTATGAACTCCCAATGTTGAGTAATCCACCTGCCTCAGCCTCCCAGAGTGCTAGGATTACAGGCGTGAGCCACAGCGCCCGGCCCTATTTATTCTTATAATACAAAATCTTTACTGTAGTTTCATGTGTTGTTTTAATGTTTTTATTCTGGTAGATAAATGATCTGTACCTCTCATTGCATTTAGATACTCAACTAATATTTTATCTCTTAAAGGCAAAAACCAAATCATTCTCTTTTTTCTTGTTGTTCAACATCAGGATATAAGCACTTAAATATTCCTTACTATTTTGGTCTTACAGAAAGCACTTGTGGCTGTCAAACATGTACATCTCATCATTCCTATCCTCATACTTCGCTGATCTTTAGCCATCCTTATGTAAACCATTATATCCATGGTTCCTCAATGAAAATCTGACAAAAACTGTAGGTACCCCTCAAATACACATGCACAAATACTTATATGCATACACACATATAATTTTACTTAACAGTTTTAGGGGGCTTGTGAGCCCCTGTGAAGCCCAACCATAGACTGGACCTTTGACCCTCGGTAAAGATTCCTAAATTGAAAAGAACACTGGCATCAGGATATCTAGATGCATGCCCCAACTATGCAAAAGCTATGTGACCCTGAACAAGTCATCTGTCCTACCTTAGCCCAAGCTGGACTAGATGATCTCTAAAGTTCCTTCCAGCTTTAAAAATGAATGAGTCCATGAGCATTTTCAAATGCTGATCACAGTTAACCGCTTTTTCTTAACCATTTTGCCCAATCTCTCATTTTATACTCACATTTCTGAAATAATACTCCCCATTTCCTTTGGCTTTGAGTAATCATTAAAAATTTGTCCTCTACTCTGTGCCAAGAGGGATTTAACTGAATATAGACTGTACATATGCCTTTTAATAAGACCTTCCTAATTATGGTGGTCTCCTCCCCTTCCTCTTTATTCCAATATTGTCTCTGTTGTTTGCATGTCAGGAGAGCTGTCACCCAGTGCATTGTGCTGAATTGTCTCAAAGAGAGAACTGGGGCTGAAAAGATCTCAATGGAAAGAACAAAGATGGCTAAGCTTTCTGGGCAGCAGTGACCTTTGAAGAGCCCTTGCCAAAACCAAGGGTGGGAAAGAGAGTTTCCTTTTCATGCTGTCTTTTAATAGAAGAATGAACATTCTAAAAAGTCAAAGCTAGGGTATTAGAAAAGAGCTTACACTGCTTTTCACCTCTGGTTGGTATATGGGTTGTTTCTGTTTCTGTTGCCGAGCAGGTGAGATAACTTATTATTGAGTACCAGATTTTAAACAATTTATTGACAGGGACTGTGTGTTTTTCTTTGCATCCCTAATGCCTAGAATAGAGCCACACACTTATTAAGTGCTCAAATTTTTGCTTGATGTGTGTATGGCAGCCATGAAAATGTGCTATTCAGATCTCCTGCTACAGGGAGCATAACTAACAGCCTCAGCAGCTGCCCCCTCTGGGTCCATCACCACATTTGCACCAAGGCCATGCTTCCTGTAGGCTGCTCCCAGCCAATGACTGAGCATACACAGGCACTACCTGGTGAGATGTGGGTTTCCTTTGGTATGAGAACTTCCCACTAGGTTGGCCAAACCTTTCATGAAACTGCACTGCAGTATGAGATCCTCATATCCAAACCTCCTTCCCTCCCTCTCTTCCACAGGTGTCAGACCTTCACTGTGATATGAGGGCTTTCCCTGCCTTCTCCTACTTCCTTCCCAATAAATATCTTGCATGTCTATCCCATCTTGGTATCTTCTTGAAAGACCTGAACTGAGGTAATATGAAAGAATGAATGAGTCCTTGTTGTAATTAAGAGTAGAAGACACCATGTTGCAAGATATTGGAAAGCACATATGATAACTTCTTATTATGAGGCTTTAGTTAAATGTGGGAACCCTAGAGTCAAAATGATCCTTTCCAAAGGCAAACTACTCTCATCCCTCCTTCTGTTTAAAATCCTTCAGTTGCTCCCTATTGCTCTGGCATAAAGCCAATACTCTGACATGACCGAAAAAGCCCTACTTGGTCTGGTCCCTGCCTCCTCTGGCAACTTCATCTTGCATCATACTTCCCCTCATTCCTTCTTTGGACCCCCAATGGCCTTCTTTTAGTCCCTTTATTCACTTTTAGTCCCTTTGTTCCCTGCTGTCAGAGAGCCTTTGTACATGCTATTCCTTATACTCAGAATACTATTGTCTCATCTCTTGCCTAGTGAATTTCTACTCCTACCTGTAGTTATCACCTCCTCAGGGTAGCTTTCTTTGATCTTTTAACTAGATCAGATACTCCTACAGCGTTTCCCACTATCTACTACTCCTTTATAGCATATATCAGTTACAGTTTTACATTTGTTTGAAATTATTTGGTTAATCTCTCTCCCCCCCTTTACCCTGTAGGCTACATAAGGAAAAGGTAGGGAATGGGAAAAAGGGTTCTAGAATACAATGTCATGTATAGAGATTGATTTTATTCTATTTAAACTAGTAAGTTAGCCAGAAATTGTTTCATGGATGCTGGGTGAAGTCAAGAGACATCTGGGTCAGAGACGAAGGACTTTATTACTCATAGCATAGCAAGTAGCATGAGCATCACATTTGTATCAATCCTCTTTGCCTCCTCCCAAGTCTGATATGGAGGGCTCAGGTGGATGCTTGCATAGACCACAGGTTATATCACAAGAGAGAAACACTGAGCTTGGGGGACCTGCCATTTTATAACAGGCTGTAAGCAAGCTTGTTCTTTGTCCCAGTGGAACACATTACCTCATCCTTTAATGTTTCTTGCTGCAAACAGATTCCTGAGAAATGGCCTAAGTAAAGAGCAGTCAGGGCTTTGCAATCTTAACATACCCAGCAAGATGTGAAGGAGCATGAGAAACCCACAGAGAAGTGTCTCCCACCATACAGTTCCTCCAAAAATCATTTATATAAGATAAAGCCTCAGAAGAGAAGTGTTCTCTCTCTCTTTCTTCTATCTCACATAGTATACATGTAGTATTCCTGGATGGATAAGAAATCTGGCCATGGATTTGCTCACTATTTGCTCATATTTCCGTGAGTAGTAGAATTGCATAAAAGAATATTGATTGTGGAAACAAGACTGCCTGAGTTTAAATTCTTACTCTTGAATTCTACTTGCTAGCTGTTATAACTTTGGGCACTTTTCTATATTTCATTTCCCTTATCTGTAAAACGGGGATAAATAAAAGTACCTGCCTTATTAAGGAAATGCCTGACATACAGTAAGTGTTCAATAAATGTTAGCACTTATTGAGCTTATCATCATCATCATCGGCCAGCTGACCAATTGTGGAATAATCTACTTGTATTTCATCAGGCAGTGATAATGTTCTGCTGATTGTGGAAATTCTACTCCCAATATTTAAGTTATCCTAGGACTAAATCAAAATGTGAACTAGAGGTGAGGGAGGAAAGCAGGCATACTCTGTTCTTCCTATGTACATTAATTTAATCATAGTCTAGGTTTATTAACTTAAATGCTTTTAAATGGTGATACGTAGGGAGCTAAGAGGCAGGCTCTTAACGTAGGTAGATTCAGGTACTGAATTGAAGTACAGCACTACTTGGAGGTGTTCTCATTGCTGAACTTAACTACTTCTCTTTTGTAGTGAATGTTGTGGAGGCACTTCAGGAATTCTGGCAGATGAAGCAGTCCCGTGGGGCTGACTTGAAGAATGGGGCTTTAGTGGTTTATGAGATGGTTCCCTCCAACAGTCCTCCCTATGTCTGCTATGTCACCTTGCCTGGGGGAAGTTGCTTTGGGAGTTTCCAGGTAAGAGTTTTGAGGTGGCAGTAGCAACAATAAATGCTTAGGTGCCAGAAAGGGCTTTCTCCACCACTCTGAAATAACATATTTGAGGACCCAAACCAATTCTAAGTAAATAATTCTGGCAAGCATTTGTGGCTCATTTGACCACAAAAGAACCTCAGTAGCATGCGTTTCTTTCAAAAACTCAAACCCATTTTGAATTTGAATATGCCCTTGCTCATTTTATCAGACTACCAGCACCCAACCCATGTTCTGATCTGGCTTTCATTATTGCATTCCAACTTCCTGCCATCTCTTCTTGAGGATATAGAACAATATTCTTTGCCCTTAGTGCTTTTTTTTGAGACAGAGTCTTGTTCTGTTGCCTGGGCTAAAGTGTCATGGTGTCAGCCTAGCTCACAGCAACCTCAAACTTTTGGGCTCAAGCGATACTCCTGCCTCAGCCTGCTGGAGCCACCACACCAGGCTAATATTTGTATTTTAAGTAGAGAGGAGGTCTCACTCTTGCTCAGGCTGGTTTTGATCTCCTGACCTTGAGCAATCCACCCACCTCAGCCTCCCAGAGTGCTAGGATTACAGGTGTGAGCCACCGCGCCTGGCCCTTAGTAATTTTTCATAGAAAATTACTAAAGAAAGCAAGGTTTGAATTCTCTAAGAGATCAAAGGAGGGACTATGAATGGTGGAAACAGTATTCATCTAAGAGTTAGGAGATCCAAACTCTCATTTCCCTGACTGGCAGTAGGGCTAGTGAGGTATCATTTTGGGGCCTGTTTCCCCACCTATAACATAAAGGAGGATAGGTTAGATTATTTCTAAAGTCTTTTCTACTAACATTCTACAGTTGTAAGAAAGACCTATGGTGATGAAAAGAATGGTTGCCATTATGGGGTAGTAAGAAATTATTATGGACTAGGGTGAATATTATCAACAAAGATAGATTTTTTACATTGCAGACAGGAAAGCAGCTTCTGAAACGTCAACTTAAGAGTCTGAATAGGAATTTAGAGAAAACAGTAAACAACTTTGTTCTGTTTTCCATATGGTTTGTGTAACCCTTAGATAATGTTAGAACTGCTACTGTGTGCTTCAATAGGATCTTGAACTTTCCCTGTCATATCACTTATTACAACATATCATAATTGTTTTTCTCCCCTAGTGGAGTATGCTACATGGAGGCAGAGATTGTGTCTGTCTCTTTTTTTGTTCAATATTAAATCCCAACCACCCAACTCAGTACTCAGCACATAGTAGGCTATTAATAGATCTGTTGCATGAATGCCACTAAAGTTCTAAGGAACCTTCATTTCAAATCAGGTGACTAAATTTCTTCCCTCAGATCTTCAGCTATTTCAGAGAAATAGATATATGCCCAGGATGACTAATATTTATGCTTTCTTTTCTTAGAGAATAAGATCTTTCCTTCTTTCCACTTCGTCACATTGTTAAATAATGATTTAAAATTTTTATGATGATGCCCATAACTGAAACATAGTAATTTGATTTCTGTTATTTTCTGAAAAAGTAGTATTATCTCTGTTGGCCTCTTTTAGCTTATAACTCTTATATACACTTTGGCAGGTAAAATTTCTTCTGGTGGTATTCTTCACAGATAACTTTTTCAGAAACAGCACTATAGAGCAGAGTGGGCAGTAGGCTAGAAATGGAGAAGTAGAGACAGTGAAATCAAAGAGGCAAGAAGACTTATGGTTAATGTACCAACCTCATATGCTGCCTCAGTTCTATCTGTCAGCTAAAGAAAATTAAGAATTAATGATAGTAATAATGGTTAAGTAGTGAACATAATAACCTGGTCTACTTTTAAAAACAACAACATCACTTTCTTCCTTTCCCGTTAATCTTTTTTTTTTTTTTTTTTAGCCAGTCAAATTTAGCAGTGGGGCATCTTTCTCCTAGTCTTAATCATAAATGACAAAGGGTACAGAGGCCTTTCAGGGAGCCAGTAAAGATGAATTATAAAGGAATACTATGGTGGCTAGGGATCTGAAGTTGAATGATTTATGACTTCTGAGAATCAGACTTTTTCTATGATACCTTGTTCAGGTATAGCTCCTTTGGCTCACTACATTATTGGGGAAAATGCTTGCCTACAACTAAAAGTGAAGTCCAGGAATCCTAGATGGGTGCTTCTGATAGAGACCAGAGGTTTCCTTTGCAGAAGCAGCCTAGACACAGCTTTGTTCTAATCTCGGATTATTAAGAAAAATCAAAAAATTTTTTACTGTCCACAGAATAAGAGAACAAGATACAGATTGTCTATTAATAATAAATTGGCCAGAATCTAGCTTTTGAGTAATTAATTCTGTCAACAGTTTAAACAGGCATATTTTTCATTTCCAGTGATTATATGCTGACATCAGCAGTCTTCCTCATTGTGCATTCAATTTTGTATGAGCTATAGCCATCTCCAGTTCCTTAATGACTTCAGGATGTTGAATCAAAATTATGTTTCCAAACAGCCCAACCATTTTACAATAAAAACTTTGGGGAGTGTGTTGATTTATCCAGAGTGTCCAAGTGTCTTCTGTCTCAAATGTTTCCCTTCCACTGTTCCTTTCTCTTTCTCAGATGCACATATACATATATTGTCACTCTTTCTCCCCTGCCTAGTTTTGCCCCACAAAAGCTGAGGCCCGGAGGAGTGCTGCAAAGATTGCGCTAATGAACTCTGTGTTTAATGAACATCCTTCCCGAAGAATCACTGATGAATTCATTGAAAAGAGTGTCTCTGAGGCCCTGGCATCGTTCAATGTAAGTTGCATGGAGTTGTAAGGAAGCAGAGTGGAGGATGGGTGAACTGGCCAGTTGGAAAGTCTTTCTGTTTATTCTCTGTTGTGTCACGTGTTCTGTGTCTTATCTCTAATTCTATATCTGTATGTATGTGTTTTTTGTTGTTTTGTCTTCTTTCATTGTATCTCTTTGGTATCTAGGAACCTTTTTTTTGTTGTTGTTGAGACAGAGTCTCACTCTGTTGCCCAGGCTAGAGTGCCATGGCATCAGCCTAGCTCACAGCAACCTCAAACTCCTGGGCTCAAGCAATCCTTCTGCCTCAGACTCCCGAGTAGCTGGGACACAGGCATGTGCCACCATGCCTGGCTAGTTTTTTCTACATATATTAGCTGGCCAATTAATTTCTTTCTATTTATAGTAGAGACGAGGTCTCGCTCTTGCTCAGGCTGGTTTCGAACTCCTGACCTTGAGCAATCCACCAGCCTCGGCCTCCCAGAGTGCTAGGATTACAGGCGTGAGCCACCGCGCCTGGCCCACCAGAAACCATTAATTCAAGATTTATGGAATTTTAGTACCCTAAAATGAAAAGTGAGTTTGAATTTTGCTTTTCCCAATTTTGGTTTAAGACCTTAGTCCCAGGCCAGGCGCAGTGGCTCACGCCTGTAATCCTAACACTCTGGGAGGCCGAGGCGGGCGGATTGCTCAAGGTCAGGAGTTCAAAACCAGCCTGAGCAAGAACGAGACCTGTCTCTACTATAAATAGAAAGAAATTAATTGGCCAACTAATATATATAGAAAAAATTAGCCAGGCATGGTGGCACATGTCTGTAGTCTCAGCTACTCAGGAGGCTGAGGCAGAAGGATTGCTTGAGCCCAGGAGTTTGAGGTTGCTGTGAGCTAGACTGACACCACAGAACTCACTCTAGCCTGGGCACAAAAGTGAGACTCTGTCTCAAAAAAAAAAGACCTTAGTCCCTTACTATTTTTTGTGTTTTTTTAAAATAAGACTAGGGTTTTTTTGTTTTGTTTTTTGAGACGGTATTGCTCTGCTACCCAGGCTGGAGTGCAGCTGCCCAATCATACCTCTCTGCAGCTTCAACTCCTGGCCTCAAGTGATCCTCCTGCCTTAGCCTCCCAAATCGATGGGATTACAGGCATGAGCCACTGTGCCCATAAAACTGTTTTTATTGTTGCTTTTCTCCTGCCTCCATTACTTCATCTTATCAATAGAGAACTACGTTATAATACAGTGTCTTATCTTTTTCCCTTTTTAGAAATGAGGAAGATAATTTATTTGCTCTCTTTAAAAAGAACAACTGTTCTTTCAAATAATGATGATAATAACCATAGCTAATCCTTGTGCTAGGGACTACTCTACAGGATTTATATGTATTTTATCTCCTTTGAACATCATAACAATCCTATGAGGTATGAGTACTATTATTACCTCTGTTTTACAGAAGAGGACACTAAAACACAGAAGTGAAGTTTTGCCTAAAGTGATATAGCTAGTAAGTGGTAGTGCCAGCCAATATTAGATAGAAACCCAAGTAGACTTTGTTTTTTTGAGACAGGGTCTCATTCTGTCAAACAGGCTAGAGTGCAGTGGTGTGATCATACTACTGCAGCTTCAAATTCTTGGGCTTAAGCCATCCTCCTGCCTCAGCCTCCCTAGTAGCTGGGACTACAGACACACACCACCACGCCTGGCTAATTTTTCTTATTTTTTTTCTAAAGATAGGGTCTCACCCAGGTTGGTCTTTGAACTCCTATCCTCAAGTAGATCCTCTCACCTTGGTTTCCCAAAGTGCTGGGATTACACACATAAGCCACCATGCTGGGGCGTTTAAGCACTTAGTTTAGAGTTACAGTTTAGAAATTAAAACTGCCTCTTCTTCCTCCCTGCAAATTCATTGATAGGGTGATAAAATGACCAATTTTCTGTTTCTCTTCTCTTTGCATTTAATTAAGATGTAATTACATATACTAAATTGTTTCAGTTATCTGCTTTGTGGATTGAATTAAATTATCTCTAATTCCTTTCCAATTATATTCTAATGGTTCTTTCACTTATCAAGTATTCTGTGATAAATGTTTATTGAATAAATGGAGTTGGTTTAACCATGTTAGGTGTGGAAGTATGATATGAAGCAGAACTTTCCAACCGGTAGGTCATATCACTCTGGTACTGTACAAATAGGTTGAAGGTGTGCCATCATATTGATTACCCTCAGCTCCCAGGGAGTGGGCAAGGCCTGGGACAGATGACCTCTTCTGCCCAAAATCATTCGGGCTGCCAGCATCCTCCTCTGTATATCCCAGTTGGCTGTACAGATATTATTTTTGTTTTATTTTTTTTATATATTTTTTTTTTGAGACAGAGTCTCACTTTGTTGCCCAGGCTAGAGTGAGTGCCGTGGCGTCAGCCTAGCTCACAGCAACCTCAATCTCCTGGGCTCAGTGATCCTACTTCCTCAGCCTCCCGAGTAGCTGGGACTACAGGCATGCGCCACCATGCCCGGCTAATTTTTTGTATATATATTTTTAGTTGGTCAATTAATTTATTCTATTTTTGGTAGAGACGGGGTCTCGCTCAGGCTGGTTTCGAACTCCTGACCTTGAGCAATCCGCCTGCCTCGGCCTCCCAAAGTGCTAGGATTACAGGCGTGAGCCACCACGCCCGGCCTTATTTTTGTTTTATTTTATTTTATTTTTTGGAGACAGAGTCTCACTCTTGTTGCCCCAGCTAGAGTGCCGTGGCATCAGCCTAGCTCACAGCAACCCCAAACTCCGGGGCTCAAGCTATCCTCCTGCCTCAGCCTCCTAAGTAGCTGGGACTACAGGCATGCGCCACCATGTCTGGCTAATTTTTTCTGTATATTTTTAGTTGTCCAATTAATTTCTTTCTATTTTTAGTAGAGACAGGGTCTCGCTCTTGCTCAGGCTGGTTTCAAACTCCTGACCTTGAGTGATCCGCCTGCCTTGGCCTCCCAGAGTGCTAGGATTACAGGCATGAGCCACCTTGCCCAGCCATGATCATTATTTTATATGTTCCATGTCATGAAAAAGTTTGTGAGGCACTGAATAAGGTATCATATTGAATAGTTACAAGTAAAATTGAAATGGTTGCTTGCCTCAGAGCACTAATGCCTAGTTTTGAAGATTATCTTTTTCCTTCTAGGTTTTCACTTCTAAATCCAAATTTTGTATTTTTTTCTCCTTTCTCCTCCTCTAAATCCAAATTTTGTGATCCCTGCTTCACCACAAAGATTAACTATGTATTAATCAGTATGGGCTAATCTTGAGTGGTTCTGACCTCCAGTTGATTCTAGCACAGTAAAAACAAGTAATAATAATAATAATAATTAACTAGCATTTGTGGCTTTATTTACTAAGTGGTTGGCATTATTTTAAGTGTGATACATATACAGGAAAACCCTATAATAAACTGAATTTGGATATAACCTGATTGGCTCCTGACTTCTATCTAGTCTCCTTTCTTAAAGAATGCCAAATAAAGTTCTAATCTTGGGATGTGTGGCTATGTGGAACCAGCTAGAAAAGCAGGCAACTTCTTAGGAAGCAGGAGGACAAAATTGGATCCCTGTGTTCCCAGTATTTTCCTAGTCCTAATTTCCTAGTTGACAAAAGGTCACCAGTAAACCAGGAGATGCCCTATTTTGGGAGTCCCATTCAGCCCCAAGATCTGGAATTATCCTCAATATTTAAAACAGAGAGAAAAACCACCAGCAAATCTACACCAAACTATAGCCGGTATCAGAATGGATTTGGATTGTATAACTGAACACCAGGACCAGCACAATAATATACCTATATTTTGGAGTTCCAGACCACATTTATCCCTTTTAAAATTTTTATTTTTAATTTAGAAAATGTATTTAATTCTCAAAACAATCCTATAAGGTAGGTCTATGATTATTCCCATTTTACAGATGAGGAAACTGAGGAAGAGAGAGGTTAAATGACTTCCCCAAAGCCACACTATTAGTAGAAGCTTCAGTTCATGCTCTTAACTAGTAGGAGCTTCAGTTCATGCTCTTAACTGCTGTATTGATTTTTGCACACACTAGGCTTGAAGGTAGGACAAAGTGTTTTATTTTATTTTTTTATTTATTTTTTGAGTCAGAGTCTCACTCTGTTGCCCAGGCTAGAGTGCCATGGCATCAGCCTAGCTCACAGTGACCTCAAACTCCTGTGCTCAATCGATCCTTCTGCCTCAGCCTCCCGAGTAGCTGGGACTACAGGCATGTGCCACCATGCCCGGCTAATTTTTTTTTCTATATATATATTAGTTGGCCGATTAATTTCTCTCTATTTATAGTAGAGACGGGTCTTGCTCTTGCTCAGGTTGGTTTCGAACTCCTGAGCTCAAACGATCCGCCCGCAAGGCCTCCCAGAGAGGTAGGATTACAGGCGTGAGCTACCGCGCCCGGCCTAGATAACAGATTTTAAAAACTTAGTGCAAGAAAAAGAATGTAAACTATTTCATTAATAATGTTTATACTGATTATAGTTCAAAAATATTTTGATTATGTTGGGTTAATGTGGGTCACTTTATAATTGGGTTACTTTAATGTGGCATCTAGAGAATTTGAAATTAAATATTGGCTTGCATTATATTTCTATCGGACAGTGCTGCCCGAGATGATAATCCTGATTGAAAGTCTATTTGTCTTTTCCTTTCCTCTGTTCCCAGGGCAACAAGGAGGAAGCTGACAACCCAAATACAGGGATTGGTGCCTTCCGATTCATGTTGGAATCCAACAAGGGCAAGTCAATGCTGGAGTTCCAGGTACTGTTCTTCTGGCTCTAATAACATGGGTCAGCTGCAACTACATATATAATGCCTCCAACTAATCCCTGATTCATTGATACTGGAAAGGAAGGAAAAGAAGGCTGTTAGAATATTTTTCAAAATATAAATACCTTCCTTCCCCCAAGGGCATGTCAGAGTGATGAGAAATGCTTCCACAAATTCATTTTGTAAAAGATTTTCTATGTAATTCTGATGCAACTTCTCAATATAAAATCACTGTCCTGTTACTTCATATCATCTTCCCCTAGGAGCTAATGACAGTTTTTCAACTGCTGCACTGGAATGGTAGCCTTAAGGCCATGAGGGAAAGACAGTGTTCTCGTCAGGTAAGAGATCTTATGAGTTGGGGGGTAGGGAGCAGTCTGGCAGCACCTCTATTCTGAGGTAGCTGCTATGTTAGAAATGAACAGCCCTATGGTTACCGGGTTGTGAAAATCAAAAGTATCCTCTCCACTCCTATAATCTTTCCTATTTGATTCTTAACTGTGATTCTTTTGTCTGTCTTACTTTTCATACCAGGAAGTTTCCTTAAGAATCTCCTTGAGACCAGGTGCAGCCTAGCACTCCTAGCACTCTGGGAGGCCAAGGCAGAAGGATCGCTTGTGCCCAGGAGTTTAAGGTTGCTGTGAGCTAGGCTGATGCCATGGCACTGTAGCCCAGGCAACACAGTGAGACTCTGTCTCAAAAAAAAGAAAAAAGATTTTCTTGAAAGACTTAGGTACTAACTTCAGTTAGGTCTCCAAGGCTAAGAGTTCTTAGTCCCAGATGGGTCAGTGTGGTATGATATGAACTGTTACCCTCTCAGTGATCTTCACGTCGTTCCCCTCCCCCACTAGGAGGTGTTGGCTCATTATTCACACCGGGCCCTGGATGATGATATTCGCCACCAAATGGCCTTGGACTGGGTGAGCAGGGAGCAGACTGTACCTGGGGCACTGTCTAGAGAGCTGGCCTCCACCGAGAGAGAGCTGGATGAAGCCCGACTAGCAGGCAAGGAGCTGCGCTTCCACAAGGAGAAGAAAGATATTCTCATGCTGGCTGCTGGGCAGTTGGGCAATATGCATTCTTCCAACTGCTAGGCATCCACCCACGTACTCCCCATCCTCACCAGGCCTTTTTGTATGTCTCCTTTCTAAGACTTAGGATGATTTCTGTACATATTTTCTCAATTTTATACTTTAAAATATAGATATATATGTATAAATTCTACACCTGGATTCCTATTTGCTAAGAGATCCCTTTTTTTACTTCCAGTTTTTAGATTTAATTTCAGTTGAAACGTCTTCACTTTACAAGGAGGAGCAAGCTGTTTTTGGAGCTCTACTAGCTCTTAAAATTCCAGACTAACTCTGTGTAGTCATTTTAGTAGCACAATATGATTGGCTAAATGTTCATGTCTCCTCCTTTTAAAATAACAGGTAGACTGAATAAGGACTATGTACCCCACTCTCGCTATATTCCTGCTTTCTGTTGGGTTCAAACAGGGTATAAGTATGAGGCCTTTGGCTTTAGTTTATCTTGAGCCAAACCTGCTTGGTACCCCTTCCCTTCCCATCACTACATTACTCCTTCTCTGCTTCCAAATGCCACTTTGTTTTGAGGCTTCCCTATCTTATTATTCCAAAAGAAGCAGAGATCTGGTTTCTTATTTCCCCCCTCCCCCTTTACTTGGTTTATTATTTTTAAATCTCTCCTAAGAAACTGCCCAGGGGCCGGGAGTGGTGGCTCACGCCCATAATCCTAGCATTCTGGGAGGTCAAGTCTGGTGGATCGCTCAAAGTCAGGAGTTTGAAACCAGCCTGAGGAAGAGTGAGACCCCATCTCTACTAAAAAATAGAAAGAAATTCATTGGCCAACTAAAATATATAGAAAAAATTAGCTGGGCGTGGTGGTACATGCCTATAGTCCCAGCTACTATGGAGGCTGAGGCAGAAGGGTCGCTTGAACCCAGGAGTTTGAGGTTGCTGTGAGCTAGGCTGATACCACGGCACTCTAGCCAGGGCAACAGAGTGAGATTCTGTCTCTTAAAAAGAAAAAAGAAAGAAACTGCCCAGGAATTCATGGGAGTTTACTATTTAAGTTGCTTCTGGGGCCTATCTGTACCATACCAGTAGTCCAGGTTTCCAGAGGTACTCTACAGTAAGAAGGGGGTCAGGGTTGAAGCTGATTATCTTTCAATATTCCCTTTTCATTTCTCCCCTGCTCTCCCAGCTTAGTTAAACCCTGTGTTTAGACCTTCCTGCCAGCATAGACTAATAGAAGGTAAAACATTTTTCCCTCCATTCCGTCTTCCATCATTCTGCTTTTGGAAGTGTTATTGGTCCTACTTGGTGAGCGAGGGCCATGTTCCTCTCACTCCCACTAAGCTGCTGCTGTTTACTACCTTAAATGTACATACCTTAGAATCTCATTTCTCTCTTTTCTTTCCTCTTCCTCCACATTGATTAGAGCATGAGTTGATCAGGAAAATTAGATGAGACTTTAGAATTATTACAGCACTTCCTAACTGGAACCTTGGGAGACTGCAGGAGAGGAAAGAGAATCAATGATCAGCTATTTGTGTTTTTAATATCATTCTCCTCCCCAGCCTCTCTTCTGGGTGAAGTAAGAGATAAATGACCTGTAGTACAGCTAAAGCATTCTCCTTTTGGAGAATTTTTTGGTAGTCTCTCTAAGATATATTTTCCCCTTGTTTCTGTGATCTCTTTCATACTATATTATTGCTCAGTATACTTTCTAAACTGAACTTGAGATGCTTAATGCTCTTGCAGTTGGACTTCCCATTTAACAAATATACACTTTCCTTTTAGAATAGATTAGGAAACAAGTCACAAATTGCTCTTTTGGATTAGATAGGGACAAAATGAAAGGCAGCTTTCTTGCTTTTGAAATCATCCTGGTGACCAGTACATATGGATCAGAGGTAAGGAATCCAGCTACAATTATATCAGTGGTTGAGAGGGGCTTCCTTGAATTCTCCAAGCCTCATCTTTGTATTCCATGAAGCACATGCAGTGTAGAGGCTTGGAGTAGAGGCTCCCACATTAAATAATAGATGCATCTATCTTTTTTTATTGGTATTTATAACTCAGAAACCACAAACACTCCTGTTTTTCTTACGCTACTTTCTCTGGGAAGAAGTGTTAAGGGGGGCCAGAGTGCGGTGGCTCATGCCTGTAATCCTAGCACTCTGGGAGGCCGAGGCAGGTGGACTGCTCGAGGTCAGGAGTTCGAAACCAGCCTGAGCAAGAGCGAGACCCCATCTCTACTAAAAATACAAAGAAATTAATTGGCCAACTAACATATATAGAAAAAATTAGCTGGGCATGGTGGCACATGCCTGTAGTCCCAGCTACTCGAGAGGCTGAGGCAGGAGGATTGCTTGAGCCCAAGAGTTTGAGGTTGCTGTGAGCTAGGCTGACGCCATGGCACTCACTCTAGCCTGGGCAACAAAGTGAGACTCTATCTCAAAAAAAAAAAAAAAAAAGGAAGTGTTAAGGGGTATGAGTTGTGAGAAGAATTGTCCTTGCACCTCCTGGATTTATTATTTTTCTCAAATACCACTCAGTAGAATCCCAAGGAACTTGAGAAAAATTGTTCCCTAACCTGTCCACTTTTGGTGTCAAAGATTTTACTTATCTTTTTGGTACTCTTTATGTATTTTATATGTATAATTTTATACAATTAAAAATAGATTTTTGTCTAGTGAGCCAGATTGATTCTTTCTTGAGACCTATATATCAAAGGAGCTGTAAAATGGCCTCACTTTTTTTACATGTATACTAGAAAAGAATTATTAGTATTTGGGGGATGGTAGAAATAAGATTGTACTCCTGGGGAAAGGCAATCTGTCTCCCCTTCTCCAGATATTTAAGGAACCTGGATTTTGTCCTCAGTCTTTTCTCAAGCTCTACCCATTCCTACTGGCAGTCTCGTCCACTATGTGACTTAAACTCCACTATACACATGATTTTCAAATCTATTTTTTCTACCCCAACCTATTATGAGTTTTTACTTCCATATTTCCACATGCTGGATATTACCACCTGAACATGACAGAAGCACTTAGAACTCACATATTCAAAATAAAATCCATTTCTCCATACTTGCTCCTCTTTAACTCCTTAGATCTATTATTGGAATTATCCCAGTTCTCTAAACCAGAAATCTTAGATCCATCCTCAACTCTTCTCTGTTATCCTCTAGTCACTTACTATTGAGTCAGCCTTCTCTATAAACTTCCTAATCCAGCAGTCCCCAACCGTTTTGGCACCAGGGACCATTTTCATGGAAGACAATTTTTCCACAGACTGGGGTGGGAGTGGGGGTGGTTTCGGGATGATTGAAGCACATTACACTTATTGTGCATTTTATTTCTATTATTATTACATTGTAATATATAATTAAATAATTATGCAACTCACCATAGGTTGGGGACCTCTGTCCTAATATGTTTTGTCCATATTTACTGCCTTAGTTCAAGTTCAGTCCTTTCTTGTCTCTAGATTGGACCACTGCAATAGCTTCCTCACTGGTTTTTCCTTCCTTTCTTAACATGCTTCATAATATTGTCATATTTCTTTATAAAATACTTATGACTGTGCCACTCCCTTGCTTAAACCATCACTTAACTATTTTTAACTTTAGCAGCATTTCCTAGTTTCATATGTGAACCCTTGAGGTTACCTCAGGTGATTTTAGGTAGCAGATGGACAAACTTTTAAAATTTTTAACAGTTTGCTTTAATTTGAATTTGTAGTAGAAAAATATTGGTCTTCCACTTATAGAATATTAAAATTTCTTTTAAATGTAAATTTATGTTTAAAGTCAGTCTATTTAAAGAAAAATAATAACCAAAAATAGTATGGGACTATTTGCAAATGTCAAAAATCATAAATATTCAAATATTTGAAGTAGAGAAATTTCTTGCCTATAGGATAAATTTCAAAATCCTTATCATGGCAATTTGGCCCTGAACTGTATTTCTAGCTTTATTTCCTACTCACACAGTGTCAGATATATAGAATTTCTTGCCACCCAATATTCACTCATTCAATAAGTATTTACCAAATGTCTACTATGAGCCAGGCACTGGGCTAATCTTTGGGGATATAGTTGTAAATAAAGCCTCTCTGCCATAAGTATTACCTTCTAATGGGAAAAACAGACAATAAACTAGTTAGAAGGTAAACAAGATAATTAAAGATTCTGATTTCAGTTCTGTAAAGGAAATAAACAAGAGTAAAGGACAGCAGGGTACAGAAGACACCCTTTGGATGATAGTACTATTGAGATCTAAAAGGATAATGTTGAACTAGACATGTGAAGAGCTGGAGGAAGAGCATCAGGAACAGAATGCTGCAAAAGCCGAGATGAGAAAGTGCACCTAAACCATAGTTGAAGTATAGGGAGAGCTAAATGGATGAGGGGAAAGAATGGTGGTTGAAGAGGTTGGAGACATAGGCAGATCAGGCTGTGGGAGTTGCAATTTTACTCTAAGTGCAACAAAAAGTCAAGGAAAGAGCCAGGTATGGTGGCGCATGCCTATAGTCCCAGCTACTCAGGAGGCTGAGGCCGAAGGATTGCTTGAGCCCAGGATTTACTGCCATCCTGGGCACCACCGTAGTACCCTGTCTCTAAAAATAAAACAAAACAAAACAAAACATAAAATGTCAAGGAAGGGTTTTTATAAGTATGTAACCAACTGATTTTTAAAATAATCATAATACCTACTGTGGAGTAGTCTCAATACAACTGCTTTGCCTAGAAAACTACTTAGCCTCAAAGTCCCGGTTCAAATGCAAAGTACCCCCTCCTCCTGAATAGTCCTAGAAACCTTCTTTGTACCGACATAGCACTTTATGGTAGCAATTATCACTTTCATAGTGTAATTATAAAGTGAGTGTTGATAATGCAATTATTTGTCTTTGTATTACAAGTATTAACTAAAAAATATATATATAAACGAGTTTTATATTTTGGATAAAGAAGAGCTTTATTTCTTATATAAAGGGTAGCAGGCCTGGGGTGGTGGTTTCCGCCTGTAATCCTAGCACTCTGGGAGGCCGAGGCGGGTGGATCGCTCAAGGTCAGGAGTTGGAAACCAGCCTAAGCAAGAGCGAGACCCCGTCTCTACTAAAAATGGAAAGAAATTAATTGGCCAACTAAAAATATATAGAAAAAAATTAGCCGGGCATGGTGGCTCATGCCTGTAGTCTCAGCTACTCGGGAGGCTGAGGCAGTTGCTGTGAGCTAGGCTGATGCCAGGGCACTCTACCCTGGGCAAGAGAGTGAGACTCTGTCTCAAAAAAAATTAAAAAAGGGTACCAACCTGCTAGGCCGCCATTCCAACAGGTTGGGAAGCAGGGGCCCAGGCCAGAAGCCAGGCACACATGCCTCAAAGAAGGGACAAAAGGCAACAAGGTTTTTATACTGAACAGGGTGGTCAAATATACATATTTAACAAGCTATAGGAGGAGTAGGAGTCACGAATATTTAGGGAGGGAAATCACACGTATGTAATTCTGCTTTTCCTCTCCCATCCCCTCATCACTGGGAACTTAGTTTTAGGGTTTCTGGGGCTCCCTTGGCCAAGAGGGGTCCATTCAGTTAGCAGAGGGCTTAAGGTTTTTTTAGTTCACACTAGCAACTCCTCTAATATTAGACACACATATCAGGCATTGAGAACTGCTTGATTAATAATTTAATAAATGAATCCACAATCCACTATTAATGAACAGGATTCCAGAATTTGAGAGCGTTACAGGTTTTGCCTTAACTCCTAGGTTTTCAAACTTGAAACATCTGTATTATCTTCAAAAAAGCTAAAGCCCCTATTTTAAGGCCATGACTTTTTTTTTTTTTTAATTCTCAATGGTAGTAGGAAGAGTTTGGGAGTTTTCTCTTTTAAAAAAAAATGCTGATATCTGTCTCACCAATCGTATTTCAACGGCAATCACGTCTGTTAGTTTCCTTAGCAGAAATTCGGTGCTGCAGTATGTTCCAGAAGCTTTTTGAGCCAGCATTGCTGATCAAACTATTATTAAAAAATCGCTTCTATTATAGATCAGGCTGCTCTTCGAAACGGTACAGGCTTAGAAGTTTTAAGAGAAAAAATTTTCTTCAACTTCCATTTCCTAGTTTGAGGTGAAGAGACAAAAAATAAACCCACTAATACAAAGAAATTAGGCCGGGCTACACCATTAATAGTACACTAGTTCCCATGAGCCGCCGGAGTCAAGAGAAAGCCACTGACTCCGCCTATCTCCTAGTTTGACCTTCCCGGATGCATTTAGCAGGAGACCTTCTCAAGATGGCTGCAGAAACACTTCCGACATCTTCCCGAACTAGGCCCGACTCCATTTGCGTATTTTCAGCGCGCCGGGGCGGGGCTTAGAGCTCGCCTGTGATTGGTCAGCTTGACTGGCGACCTTTCCCCTCTGCGACAGTTTCCTGAGGTGTCTAGTTCCTAGGAGGCACAGACGAGACCTCGACCGAAGGCAAGATGGCGGATGTGCTGGATCTTCACGAGGCTGGGGGCGAGGATTTCGCCATGGATGAGGATGGGGACGGTGAGGACAGCAGAGGCGGCTGCGGGAAGCGGGGAAGGTGCGAGAGAAGGGTATAATAGAAAAATTTAACCTCCCTTCTCCCCGGCGGGGAGGAGGGCAGACGGGGAGCCGAGGAACCGGGTCTGGGTAGAATTAGAGGCTCCGCCTCCTTTGGGAGGAATGGGGCGGGACCGGGAAGTGAATGAGACGGGAGGCAGTGGGGTCCTCTTTCAGATAGTGCTTGGGAAAGAGACAGTTGTTATAAATGACTCTTGTCCTTGTTAATCATTCTTTTCTCTTATGGGGCTCTAGAGAGCATTCACAAGCTGAAAGAAAAAGCGAAAAAACGGAAGGGCCGCGGCTTTGGCTCCGGTGAGTGTGGCGAAAATGGGGTAGAGTGTTGTTGGAGGGCGGGAACTACGAGTTTTGGAGTCCCCCACCCAGCTCAGGAGGAACAGTGAGAGAAAGGGAGAGTTTTTGGTGATCTCGTGTATGTCCATTATAGAAGAGGGGTCCCGAGCGCGGATGCGTGAAGATTATGACAGCGTGGAACAGGATGGTGATGAACCAGGGCCACAACGCTGTGAGTAAAATGGAACCTGTGCGGGCTTTGTGTTTGTAAACAAAGACCAATAAAGTAAACCCAGTAGGGATGGGTTCAGAGATAGTGCAGCCAATCTCTGAAGTCTGTACTCTACACCTGTGATCCTGATTGAAGTTTTTCTCTTATGTACTCATACAACCTCCCTCATTCCCCAACAGCTGTTGAAGGCTGGATTCTCTTTGTCACTGGAGTCCATGAGGAAGCCACTGAAGAAGACATCCATGACAAATTTGCAGAATATGGGGAAATAAAAAACATCCACCTTAATCTGGACAGACGAACAGGATACCTGAAGGTATCCTAAGTGACACTTCATTAATTCCCTATCCCCATAACCCTTAGACAGCATCAGTAGTTCTCCTATGTTTGCTGTGATTGGCCAAGAGCAAGGTTGAAGTACAATGACATTGGTAATTGATTTTGTTAGACACAGCAAAGAGATAGAAACAGACGCATCATATATGCAAAAGAGATATGTGCTGTATATTCATTATTTATAGGTTTTTCTATTTAAGTATGAGTTGAGATTTACAGAAGATACTCGATGATGCTTGGTGAAATAGGAGGGTTTTGATATTTTTCATTTGTCCTAGGGGTATACTCTAGTTGAGTATGAAACATACAAGGAGGCCCAGGCTGCTATGGAGGGACTCAATGGCCAGGATTTGATGGGACAGCCAATCAGTGTTGACTGGTGTTTTGTCCGGGGTCCACCCAAGGGCAAGAGGAGGTAAAGTGGAGAGGGCAAACACTGTCTTGGTGAAGGGTGTATGAGCAAAACAGAATAAGGACATTGTATTATGTCCCTCTGATGGACTCCTATCATTTTTTTCCTCTAGAGGTGGCCGAAGACGCAGCAGGAGTCCAGACCGGAGACGTCGCTGACAGATCCTCTTGTCCAGGTCTTCTCTCCAAGATTCCATTTGACCATGCAACCTTGGAGAAACAGGGCTGGGGTGGAACTTGCTGTGTTTATATTTAATTTTTTACCCTACCTGCTTAGTGTTTCTTTTGAGTTACGAATAAATGTTCCATTTTTGTTTTCTACATTTAAAATTACTTTCCTGTTCTGACATTGAAAGCTCTGAAGCACTATTTACAGTAAGGCAGTATGGATCATTGTGAAGGGACTTTATTCTTTGTGAGTTTCAATATTAGATATAGTCTCAAGTGTCAGGTAGTGTTAATGTAGAGATACTGCTCAGTATTTCTTTTTCTTGGAAGCTAAGAAAGCAGGGGGAGAAGTGAGACATTCTTATGGTATTAGAAAATAATTATTCTGTTCCTATGTACTCCATTGAGAGCAAATGGATGTTATAGGAATGTCTTATTTTGTTTCTCTTGCCCTTCTTAATGTCACATTTGTTTGTACTTCCAGCTGTCTAAGGGCTTGAATCTCCTGTTGGGGCATTTTCCCACACCCTCCTTCCCTGGAGGAGTCCATAGTAAGTCCTTGGTGCCCACTTCAGCAGCCACATGTGAAGGCCCCATAGAGAAGAGGATCCAAAGGAGCACTGAGGAGGCCAAAGAGGAAAAGATGTGGCTGAGGCTGGGAGGGACTTCAGTTAGCATGGTGGGGGAGAACCAGGACCACAGACCCAGTAGGTAATAAGGTGTCCAGCAGAAGACAAAGGTCAGCAAGACAAGCAGGGGCTGGAGATGAACATGGGGGCAATTGTCTGAGGAGCAGTGGAGGGCAAATTGACTGGTAGGGGCTAGGAATTTAGAAAATATACTCCAATTCAGAACCACTCAGCTTCTGAACTGGGTACAGAGTGAATTGATAGAGGGCAGAGATCATGAGATAGAGCTCTCCTACAAGCATGAGAATGCTGCGAACCCTCTGCCCATTCCCAACCTGGGACTATATGATCCCCTACCACCAGCGATTATGACAGACTTGTTAGAGAAAAGGTTTTGATTAAGGTGCTGTTAGGTAAAGCCACTAAGGCTACTTTAAGACTTGATGGTGTTTAAGAATAAAGAATATTAAAAAGGCCGGGCGTGGTGGCTCACGCCTGTAATCCTAACACTCTGGGAGGCCAAGGCGGGTGGATTGCTCGAGGTCAAGAGTTCAAAACCAGCCTGAGCAAGAGCGAGACCCCGTCTCTGCTATAAATAGAAAGAAATTAATTGGCCAACTAATACATATAGAAAAAAATAGCCGGGCATGGTGGCACATGCCTGTAGTCCCAGCTACACGGGAGGCTGAGGCAGGAGGATTGCTTGAGCCCAGGAGTTTGAGGTTGTGAGCTAGGCTGACTCCATGGCACTCGCTCTAGCCTGGGCAACAAAGCGAGACTCTGTCTCAAAAAAAAAGAATATTAAAAACACTAAAGAATAAAACTACTGGCTGTTGGCTCACACCTGTGATCCTAGCACTCAGGGAAGCCAAGGTGGGAGGATTGCTTGAGGCCAGGAGTTCAAGACTATCCTGAGCAATAATGAGACCTCGTCTCTACAAAAAATAGAAAAACTAGCCGGATGTCATGGCATGCAGCTGTAATCTAGCTGCTCAGGAGGCTGAGGTAGGGCTTGTGATGATGCCACTACATTACAGTGACCTGTCGTAGTGACTTGTGATGATACCACTATACTCTAGCCTGGGTGACAGAGTGAGACTGTCTCAAAAAAAAAGAATACTGATCACTTTTGTCCCTAATTCTTTTTTTTTTTTTTCTTTATTGCCCAGGCTAGAGTGACTGCCGTGTTGTCAGCCTAGCTCACAGCAACCTCAAACTCCTGGGCTCAAGCAATCCTACTGCCTCAGCCTCCCGAGTAGCTGGGACTACAGGCATGTGTCACCATGCCCGGCTATTTTTTTCTATATGTGTTAGCAAATTAATTTCTATTTATAGTAGAAACGGGGGGGGGGGGTCTCACTCTTGCTCAGGCTGGTTTTGAACTCCTGACCTCGAGCAATCTGCCCGCCTTAGCCTCCCAGAATGCTAGGATTACAGGCATGAGCCACCGTGCCTGGCCTTTTGTCCATAATTCTTGCCCAGCTTAGATAGCAGCTGTTTAGAATAGAAGGCATTCAATAAAATTACCTCCAGCATCAGGTGCAAGAGATATGGTTAGTATCTTTAGTGACTGATGGCTATCAGATAGGTAGATAAATTGTGCTATAGGCAATAGCCTGTATAAATACAAGGCATTTGGGAAAGTGATTTTCTCTGAGTAAGGATTAACACCTGGGAATTGGACTCTCACCATGGCTCCCCTTTCTTATTTGGGGACTGGATACACTGAGGACAGTGTGGCTATAGCAGATGGCCATGGCTGTCAGTGATAGCAGAAGGTGAAGAGTTTATAGGTGGTTTCTTGCTATTGAGCCTTTTTTTTTTTTGAGACAGAGTCTCACTCTGTTGCCCCGGCTAGAGTGCTATGGCAATCAGCTTAGCTCACAGCAACCTCAAACTCCTGGGCTCAGGCAGTCGTCCTGCCTCTGCCTCCCGAGTAGCTGGGACTACAGGCATGTGCCACCATGCCCAGCTAATTTTTTCAATATGTTTTTAGTTGGCCAGTTAATTTCTTTCTACTTTTAGTAGAGATGGAGGGCTCACTCTTGCTCAGACTGGTCTTGAACTGCTGATCTCAAGCAATCTGAGCTCAAGCTCTCCTCCTGCCTTGGCCTCCCAGAGTGCTAGGATTACAGGCATGAGCCACCACGCCTGGCCTGCTGTTTTTCCTTGAAGCTGCCTTTGGTGACACACTGAGTGAAGGGACTGGGCCAGCCTGGTGGACAGTGTGGAATAGGAACAGCTGGAGTGGAGTTGAGAACTATTAGAACTGATTTGCCCACCCATCCCACCTATGTCAAACTATCTCCTCCCAATTCATCCTTAACTCCAGGTGGAGCAGTGCAGTGCTAACTAATAATTCACCCATGGTACCATTTTAGAGAAGTTAGAAACTTGTCTTGAAAATGTCTGTCTTCTTAGGCTTGACTATGATGCTGAGCAAAAGTTTGTTAAATCCTGGAACTTAAAGGGATCCTGCATTCTCAAGTACTGTTCTAACATTACATTTTATGAAAGTATGATATTTTGGCCAGGTGCAGTGGCTCATGCCTGTAATCCTAGCACTCTGGGAGGCCGAGGTGGGAGGATTCCTTGAGCTTAGGAGTTGGGAGACCAGCCTGAGCAAG